CAAAACCTCCAACCCACAAACCCTAAATCCTAGCGCCGTGTTCAAGCTTTGACTTGAAAGTATACCTAAGCCCAAAAGCCTACCGTGCTTACCTCCTTCGAAAAGCAGCGAATCCCAAAATGGAACAACTAAACCCCAAACCCTCACAGAACCCTTTCAGATCCTGTACAGGAGCTCCTTCACCTAATTTTCTGAAACCTATACCCGAACACAATAAACCGTAAACCCCCATAAAAAGCTTATACACCCTAGACCCAAAACTTCAAGCCTCACCCATAAATCCCCTCAGCTTCTTGCCGCAATGGTGCTCTCACAGTGATGCTTATAGTAACCCGTTAGGTCAACCCTAAACCCTTCCCTCTTCGATAACCCTAAATCCTTGCAGAACTCTCGATCCCTTCAAACAAAATCAAAACCCTCCCCGACTATAATATACCCTAAATCCTGAGTACACTTATAGTGACAGCACCCCTAAGCCTTGAACCTTTCTTGTGGATCTTGTAAATCCATTTAACGAGCCCTTAACCTCTTGAAAACTCTAGATCCCCTAGAAGATCGCTTAACCAACACCAAAAACCCTAAACCCCCAAACCTCAAGAAGGCCAAACTTCTAAACCATCCTAAACCCTTTCATAACCCTCTCAGATCCCTTAGAGGAACCCTAAAACCACCCCCAGACTCTGAACCTGAGACTAAGCCGAATTACAACTAGATGGGTAGAAATAGGGTTTAGGGTTTAGGGCTTTAGGGTTTAGGGTTTCAAATCTCTGGAAATTGGTGTAGATGGCCGAATTAAGTACTGCCTACATGCCGCTACATGACCAAAAGCATACAAGCCGAAAAACACGTGTAACTGTTGCGTTAAGTGTTGCCCACATGCCGTTCGTGCCTGCTTGACCGAAAGCATACACAACGAAATAATTATGTTAAGTGTTGCCTACATGCCGTTCGTACCTACATGGCCGAAAGCATGCAAACCGATATAGCCTTGTTAAGTATTGCCTACATGTCGTTCGTACCTACATGACCGAACGCATACAAGATAATCTTGTCCAGTAGTACCTACATGCCGTTCGTACCTACATGGCCGAAAGCATACCAGCCGAACAAGTAACAGGTTAAGTATTCCCTACATGCCGTTCGTGCCTGCTTGACCGAAAGCATACACAACGAAATAATTATGTTAAGTGTTGCCTCAGTGCCGTTCGTACCTACGTCACCGAAAGCAGACAAACCGAAATATCCTTGTTAAGTATTGCCTACATGCCGTTCGTACCGACATGACCGAAAGCATACAAACCTAAATAGTCATGTTAAGTATTGCCTACATGCAGTTCGTACCTACATGACCAAAAGCATACCAACAGAAATAATGTTGATCAGTTTCGCCTGCATGTCTTTCACACCCACATGATCGAAAGCATACCGAAAGAATCATGTTAAGTCCTCATTTGTGTTAGGTCGCCAAGAGAAGGGACGAATCCCAACCACCTTTACCTAGCTTTGGTACTGGAACCTCAAGTCTGCACCATGGATTTTCTGCAGAGAATGTCCAAACTCAAAAAGGCACCGCAATGGCCAGTTGTGCGTTCCACCGTGTGGTTGTATTTTTCCCCGTTTGGTTGTATTTCGACCCGGTCGCCCCTAAACCCCAAACCCTAAACCCTAAACCTCTAAACCCCCAAACCCTAAACTTCTAAACCCCGAAACCTTAAACCCTAAACCCCCAAACCCCAAACCCTAAACCCTAAACCCTAAGTTTTAGCCCCTAAACCCTACGTTTTAAACCCCTAAACCCTAAACCCCCAAACCCTAAACCCTAAACCCTAAGTTTTAAGCCCCTAAGCCCTAAATTCGCTCCTTGCGCCCCCGAGGCCACGGCCTCCCGGGAGGCGGCAGATCTCTCCGCGGCCATCGCCGAAGCCGAGGCCTCAGGGCTTGAGGCCCCAGCGCCTTGGCTTTTAGGGTTTTAGGGATTAGGGGTTTGGGGTTTGGGGTTTAGGGATTAGGGGTTTAGGGTTTAGGGATTAGGGTTTGGGGGTTTAGGGTTTGGGGTTTAGGGGTTTAGGGTTGAGGAGTTTGGGGTTTAGGGCCAAGTTTAGGGGTTTAGGGGTAAGGAGGTTTGGGTTTAGGGTTTAGGGGTTTAGGGATTAGGGGTTTGGGGGTTAGTGTTTAGGGTTTAGGGATTAGGGGTTTGGGGTTTAGGGTTTAGGGGTTCGGGTTAAGGGTTTAGGGGTTTGGGGTTTGGGGTTTAGGGTCCAGGGGTTTAGGGGTTTAGGGGTTTAGGTTTAGGGGTTTAGGGTTTAGGGTTAGGGTCGAGGCCCCAGTACCTTGGCTTTGGGGTGTTTTGGTTAGGGTTTTTGGGAGGTGCCTTTTTGTTGGGTGCAGGGTTTCTTTTCTACGGTTTTCCAGGATTTGTGCAGGCCTTGGGGATTTTATAGGTTGTTCTAGATTTTATATTTTTGAATATGTTTTTTGTTGCAGGGTTGTCTTTTGTTTTCCGCGGCTGTATAGGGTATAGGGTTTAGGGTTTATAATTTATAGGGTGTTACAGGGGTTTAGAGGGCTTCAGTTTTCTCTGTGAAGGGTTTGGGGTTCTACTGTATTGTGCCCCGGTTTTCAAGGGTTTGGAGGGTTCGGCGGGGTTCAGGGGTGGAGCGGTGGGGGTAGAAGGGTTTAGGGTTCCGGTTTTGAGATTCAGCTAGGTTTTGAGCATCCTTCTCGGGCGCATAACCTGCAGCTCAAAACAGTTTGCAGCGTGGACATGATGAGCGTCAATGCATGAGTGTTGTCGTCATCGCAATCGTGGTCGTGATCATGGGTCAGCATTTCCGAACCCTCATCTTGGGAAGTAGTTGGTGGACTCTACATGTCGCAGCGAGCAAAGTCGCTAAGGAACTCGACGATGCCCGCAGCGCTCTAGCGCACGAGCAGCAGATGCTTGTTCTGCACGTGCTTGCACTGAGCTGCAGCGCCGTTCAGATCGGGAGTTCTGGAGGAAGGGGGGTTTGGGTGTCGGGTTTCAGTTTGACTTGCCCAGGGTCAGCAGGGGACTGTGGGGTTCAGCAAAGTTTTGTGTGTGGGCCCGTTTTTTGTCCTGGAGCATCAGTGCATCAGTGAGTTTAGTGCGCGCAGTCAGCCACCGGGTGATCAACTCCGTGACCGGCCAGGTTCACTGGCTTAGGGAGACTGCCTCACAGAGTTTTGAGGGATGTACGGGTACCCTAAACCCTAAACCCTAAACCCTGTAAAGCCTAAACCCTAAACCCTATAAGCCCTAAACCTCTAAACCCTCATCCTTCAACTCAAAGCCCTGAGCGCATACACAGAGAGGCCAATAGCTCTCCTTAGCTCGTCGTCGAGCCCTGAAGATCCGCACTCCAAAGCTCAGAACTTCCATCACAAGCAACGATTACCCCTCGGCACCATCCATACCCATAGGCCCTATAGTAATTCCTTTTTGGGGATACCTTATAGGATTCTATGTATGAACCCCAAAAAGGAACTACTTTAGGGCCTATAGGTAAGGACCACTCACTCAGCCCAACTAGCGTGGCCCACGTAGTATCACTGAGGAAGGCAGCCGCACGCACCAGTCTGGCTCGAGCGGCCACCAGCAGGCCCGTGCCTGACTCAAGGGAGGGTTCTGTAGGCTGGGTATGCAGGATGGTAAATCCTGGGAGCTGGGTCACAGCTTGGGAGGGCTCTGTTGGAGTTGGGGCGATGCAAAGAGACCCGAAATCTTTGGTAAACCTCCTCCGCCCGAATAGGCAGTTGGGAGCTCCCTGGGCCCAGAAAGTGAGGGACCCCGAATTCGGACCCTGGTAGCATAGGACGCCATGATATGAAGAACCGTCCCAAACCCCTGTAAGCCCATAGATAAACTTCATAACACCCTGCAAAACCCCGTAAACATATCCTGAGCCTCAGGCCCTAGACCCCAAATACCAAGCAACCTCCATTCGAGGCAGATCCCGGGTCTTCGCGATGCACTTGCCCAGGCTATCAACCTCGGTCTTCCATGCGAAGAGCTTCTCGGAGCAATACATTGCAAGGGTTGTTTGGGGCTTAGGGTGTAGGGCTTTTGGTTTTGGGTTCCGTTACATGTTGGTTTTTTGACGTTGAGCAGCTTGAACAGTCTATCGAGGCGAAGAACACAAGCTTCAACTTACGGCAATCCCTAGTTGTGGTACTTGTGGAACAGGATTCTGATCTGGTGCTTACGAGACAAGAGCTTGTTCAGAACAGACATCATCTAAATATGAGTCTTCCTTGACGCTACAACAACTAAACTACTAAAGCTAAGCCAATTGGAAGCTCTGACATCATGATTCAAGCATCTCAGCGTCTGACCATGGAGGGTAACTCCCTTAGACCCTCATTGTCCCCAGCCCTTCAAACACAACTACGGAAGTGATGCCCAGAATGCTGACGCGGAGCAGAATGCGCACTGACGGTTCCTGTTCCAATCACCCAGATCTGGGCTCCGGAACGCAGCAGCCCTCGGGGGGAAAAAATCCGAATTTTGGGCTGCTTACGATATCCGCAGACTCTGACATTTCTCATTGCAGACTTGCAGTAGGAATTTCTTAAGAAGGCACTCCGAAAGACGCTGGAGTTCCAGGGTTTAGTCACATCCCTATACCCTGGACCCCGGTAAAGAGCAAATCCCACAAAACCCTTGCATAGTTAAACCCTGGTTATATTCAGAACCTAGAAGATTGGATGAGATCCTTGTGGCATGCCGTGTCAGCCCTTTAATATTACAAGAAATCCAGAAGAACATCATAGTAATTGAGAGGTTTAAATAGTTTTTGGCGGCTTCCTGTTAGAATTGTACTCTAACATACCCCGAACCCTATTCTCATGATTACTATACCTAAACCCCAAACCCTAAACCCTAAACCCTAAACCCTAAACCCTAAACCCTAAACCCTAAACCCTAAACCCTAAACCCTAACCCTATTTTGCCCTGAAGCCCCAGGCTCGCAGCTGCTCAGATGGCTCTGCGGCAAGAAGAGCGCAAGGAAGCTGCTAAAGACGCTTTGGCGGAGGCCATGACGCCGCCGGGCACAGATTTAGGGGCTGCAAGGCACCGCAGGGTTGTTTTGCGCATTTTTGGAAAGGCTTGTTGGTTCATAAGGGTTGCATGGGGCTTCCTGCAGGGTTTTAATCATACAGTTCTCTTTGGGGTTTCAGGGCTTAGGGGGACTAGGGTTTAAGCACGCAGAGAGAGCGGGAGAGAGATGGTGCTATGTAGGTTTCACTTTGGGTTCAGGCTCAAGCTGTGCTCGTGACAGAACTTTCTCTTCCTTCTCACTTGGCAGTAGCAGCAGCAGATTGCCCAGAAACTGGAACAACACTTCTGCCAGGCCATAACGGCGAGGCCTTTGGTCGCGAAAGGACCCTAAACCCAAATGTCAGGGATCTTGTCTCCCCCGAACCGTCCAGGTACCTACTATGTAGGGCCTTAGGGGCTCTAGTACCCTATATAGTAGGTAACTTGGGGGTTAGGGTCCGGCTGCAGCTCTACATGTTTGAGGCGGCTTCGCTACAGCCCAACTGGGGGTTCGGCTCACTTTATGCTTTCAGTTCAGGTGTAGTATTGTCAGTATTACTACGTAAGGACTTTATGTATGTGTGTATATATATATATAGATATAGATGTATATATGTATAGTATGATTTTGTATGTATGTATGCGTGTATGTATGTGTGTGCACGTACGTAAGTACGTGCGTACGTAGCTAGGTAGGTAGGTAGGTAGGTAGGTAGGTAGGTAGGTAGGTAGGTAGGTCGGTGGGTAGGTAGGTAGGTAGGTAGGTAGGTAGGTAGGTAGGTAGGTAGGTATATGCTGCATGTATGTATGTTTGTATGTATTGCATGTATGTATGTATGTATGTATGTATGTATGTATGTATGTATGTATGTACATATCTATGTGTATATGTATATGATACGTATATGTATTTGCATGCATGTATGTGCATACATATACATATGTATACACACAGGTCAGTTGCGCTCTCTCTCACTCCCCTCGCTCTCTCGGACTCCCCCTGTCTGCCTCGCTTTCGCTCTCCCTCTGTTTTTTTGGATCAGGCATAGACACTTTTCAACAGGTTTAGGGGCATCTATCATCATTGGTTTGCCCGTGTGTCGAAGGCCGTGTAGTCATAAGCCGAAGCGAGAAGCTGCTGCAAACTTGGTAGCAAAATGTAGCCTGAACATGCTTGATTACTTCATGTGCGGCTGCATGTTTACTGGCAGAGGCTAAGCACGAAACTCCGCGAATGCTCAGGAAACCAGAGATCGGCACGCTCCTTGCTTGCAATTGCGGGGTGAGATGCGCCGCTGAATCGCGAGAACTCAAGCCGTACAAGTGACAAGTCCATTGGTGACGTCGCTTTGGGTTTCGGCCAGGCTGAAGGTGGTGTTGCTGTTTCAGTTGATGATGAGGGTGATGGGGATGATGTTGATAATGATGATCATGATGCCGTAGCTGCTGCTGAGGAGGAGGATGGTGTTGGTCATGGTGATGGCCATGATGATGTCGATGCTGCTCGTGATGATGACTGTGACGATGACGATGATGCTGATTATAATCATCGCCATCATGGTGTTTGTTGATGAGATGATGATGATGATGATGTTGTTGATGATGATGCTTTGCTTTGGTGTGATGTCGATATTCATGGTCATGACAATGGCGATGATGATCATGACGATGATGGCGGCGAGGTAAGAGGGTGGGTAACTGCCATGGTAACGTTGATGCTAATGATACTTGCGCGGAGATCACCGGGGCAGCTGCAAAACAGCACGAACTGTCATTTCAAGCCCTGAACTGCTGAACCATGAGTCCCGGAGCCGAAATTAAGTATATAGATCCTCCACCCCAAACCAAGCCTGTGACCCCGAACCTTCGTCCCTTCTTCGTTTCAGGCTCGAGCTGGCGTTGCAGGAGGCCCTCCAAGCCGGCCTACCGGAAGCCGACTGCTTGCCGGCACAGGCGAGCGCTCGGCAAAGATGGCCGGCTTTGGGATTAGGGAGTGGGTTCTTGTAGAGTGCCGGGTTGAAGGCAGGCTTGCGGTTCAAGGTTTCAGTATCAGGTTCAAGGTTCAGCGTTGGCAGTGGAGATGTCGGTGATGATAGGTGGGGATGAGGTTTCGATACCAAAGTAGAACGATGAAGGTATTGTTAACGTGGATTACGGCGATTATGATGCTCATCATGGGGACGGGAAGGGGAATTAGAATTGCCATGATGAGCATGATGATGGTGAGGGTGGAGATGATTTAGGGATGAGCATGCTGGTGTGGAGGGGAGTGTAGACAAGACACGCTGGAAGATATGCTGTCAATGTTTGTGATGAGGATCTGGAGCTGAAGAAAATCGATGCTGATCACCGCCATGGGTGGCATGATGTTGCCGCTGGTTGATGACGACACTAATGCTAGTAGTGGTGATTGTTGTTGCTGGTGATGACGTTGATGATGATCATGATGATGAGGATGATGATGATGATGATGATGATGGCTTCCATTGTTGCTAGTGACCTGCAGGGCTTCTGCATGCAGATATGCTGAAATCGCAGCCACCACCACATTTGCTGTGCTACGATACTACGACGACGGCGAGTGAGCACGACTGTTGCTGTGCTGCGATGCTAGACTATGGTGCCGAAGGCGACAACGACGACTACGCAGCGTACTGCTCTTGTTCCTGCTGGTTGTTACTACCATTGCGGGAGTTGCCCGTTGGAGTGCCACTGCGATTGCCCCTGCAGCGGCTGCTGCTGCAACTACCACCACCACCACCACCACCAACACTACCACCACCAGTGCTAGCCCCTACAAGTCTTACTTGACACTTGATATGAGATGCTCCTATGCAGCCACAAAGCAACATTTTCGACGTTCAATTATCTGCCTAGTTGCATATAAAGACATATATATATATATATGTATGTGTACATACACGCATATTCATGTGTTCATTCATCATGTATATGAAGACAGAGAGCGCAGCTGTGTTCCCTTGGTTTGCCGATGCACCAAAGTTATGTGAACTAGCATATCATCAGTCGGATTTGGGAAACATGGATAAACAGAAGCGTTTGCACATTGCACAATCGCAATAATTCACGGATTGGCAACAAACCTTATGTACGGCACACTTACACTGCGCATGTTGCCACCTGGCATGGACTCTCTCGCTCTGCCAATCTGTTCATGTCTGTTCTCAGTGACTATCTACCTGTGTACGCGCAAATCTACACACATTTGTACCTGGCACATACACATGCATGTGCACAGCTTCAACCTTGAACAGTGAACCGGTCTCAGCACCACACATAGGTACTCTCAAGCCTCAACCCTAGAAACCTAACCTTCCAGGACCTTTTCCCATCAATACAACCCTAGAAACCACAAAAGAAACCAAACCCCTTTAGATTTCTAAATATAATCCTTGGAATCTCATAGAGACCTCAAAAATATCCCTGGAGCCTAGCCCCATCGAGGCAGCCCTTGAAGATGCGAAGCATCTCGCCGAGGCTCCGGATCAGAGCGAAAAGAGCTGTACTTTTAAGATCCTTCCAGCGTTTCAGAGTATTTCTAGGTTTGGTATTAGTTGTACTTTTAAGCTCTTTTCAGCGGTTCAGAGTATTTCTAGGTCTGGTAGGAGTTTAGTTTAACGGGTCCAATAGTGGCAAGCCTCTTCGTTAATTAACCCTGAAGCCCTTAAGCCNNTAAACCCTAGAGCCTTAAGTAAGCCCGAAACACCAAAGTCTTAAGCCCTAAGCTTTAAACCCTAAAGCCTTACACCCTAAAATCTTAAGCCCTGAGCCCTTAACCCCCTAAATCCCTGATCCTTTTGGTTTAAGTACTGTAATCTTGGTTCTATTAAAACTCATACAATCCCTAGGCCCCCCCTAATGTTTTTAATTAACTTTCAATTGTGGGCCCGAAACCGCGAGATTCCGGGGACCGGTAGTTTTTATATTAGGTGGGGTGTTTAATAATACGGGGAAGGGATTAATGGTAAACAGCAACACCAAGACCTCCTCCACTGACAACAGAGTCGAAAAGAGCAACCAAGACAATAGTCGTTTCTTGTGTGCGTTGTTAGTGTAGCAGGCACAGTCATGACGATCATCATCACAATTCCATTGTGAAGTACGTGTGCATGTAAGTGGGCATGTGTAAGTGCATGTTGCACGGAGCCTTCTGTTGGACAGGCTCTGCCATTACCCACGGTCCCTAAACCCTAAACCGTGTTGGACAAGCTCGCCTGTTAGGCCAGAGCAAGAACAGCTCTGATTGTGGCATGGCTTGGCTGGGATGGGTTTGGTCTGGTTTCAGAGCTTTGGCTGTTAAATGGACTGTGGCGTAATTACATAGAAATGTATGTAGTTAGATACCTATATGCATAAATGTATGTACATCTATAGGACTTCACTGGTGTAGAGGAAGAGGCCTGAGTGTTAATGTATCTTCCTGACTTCACATGTACCGGGTCATAGTTTTGGGGCCCTGAAAAGTACTTGTGAATAGGTTCCTCTATAGGAGCCATAAAGGAAATTTTAAAGTTTCCCAGAGTGCCACTTAGTGTATCACATGTAGGAGATTTGAAGCAAAGGGGCCAGCCGAGGAGGCACCCACATGTCGCACTTGCGGGCCGTTGTCGGCTAAGGGACAATAGTAATCCTAATACCCTGTATAACCCTTATATACCCTTTATATAGCCTCATAAAGCCCCTGTATAACCCCAAGGGTCCCTTTAAGGGTCCCTCCTTTAGTCCCTTGAGTCGGAGGTGCGGGGAGCACTGGACTTGGCCATGCGGTCACGCGATGCCAGGAGGTGCCAGACTATGAATGCAAGGGCGAGGGCGGTTTGAGATTTTGGAGTTTAGGGGTGTAATATAGGAGCCTTAAAAATTACCTGTACTATTGTTGGGGGCTCCTTATTCTAATTGTAGTATACCATACCCCAAAACCCTATTCTAATCGTTAGGCCTCTACTTTTAGGTTTCAGATAGGTGGTTGTGGTTCATTGGGGCGATGAGGGACTTGGGGCTCGGGGTTCGGGGTTTCTTGTTTTAGGTCTATGATTTGGGGCTAGGGCTGGATCTTCTACTTCAAGTTTAGGGTTTAGGGTTTAGGGTTTAGGGTTTAGGCCGGGATGCGGGTTTCGGGAGGTATTTGCTCGAAAATGTCCATTGTAAGTCTCTCTTTATGGCTTTGTTGGGTTTTTACAAGCCGTTGGAAGCATGTCGCGTGCCCTTTGCCTCTAGCAGGCCCGAGCATTCCTTGCAAAAGAGCACTGACATTCTTTAAAATTCCCTAACACCCTGGAGAACCTACCCTAAAACCTAATCCAAGCAACCCGTCGAGAAACCTAAGGGTTTAGGGAGTGCGCGGAGGGTTTCGGGTTTTAATCAGCCTTAGAGACATCACACGACGTTTGCAAAGACGTTCTAAATCCCCTAAACCCGAAGACCCCCAAACCCTAAACCCCAAAACACAACAGCAGCAAACCGCCCAACCCAAAACCCTAAACCCACAAACTCCAAACCCCCAAATCCCCCTAAACCCTAAACCCTAAACCCCCAAATCCCCAAACTCGCTTCCCTTGGAGGCTCTCCGAGGCTTTGCTGGCTGCGGAGCAGTGTGGCCTCGCACCAGAGGAGCTGGCGGCGGGCGAGGCGGTTCTCAAAGAGGCGCAATTAGGGTTTAGGGGTTAGGGTTTAGGGTTTAGGGATTTAGGGTTTTGGGTTTGGGGAATAGATGCTTCAACAATTACGAACAGTTCCTTTTTATAATAGTACTATAAAGGAGCCCCAAACCCTATTCTAATTATTACGACCNNGGGGGGGGGGGGGGCTCGTATCACTCTGAAGCTTAAACATACAATTGATAAACCCCAACCCAACCCCGGACCAGCCAGCCAAAAAAACCTCGGTTTCTAGAAGCCCCAGAAGCTACCGAGAATCACCCATCAGCGACTTTTTAGTGGGTTATGAGGGTAACACAGAAAGTCCTTGTGGGTCTAGGTTGCTAGAGTAGACCTAACCTCAGACCTTCCCGATGCTTTCAGCCCTTCCTGTTTAGGTTATAGGGCTTATGGCGACCCTCATATCCGGCCACTGAAGGAACATGGTTGTCGAATCCTGAGTGCGAACTGCACCCCAAGTTCTACTGAGAGCCGCAACCAGGTCCTCAAGCCCTTAGTCTAGGACATTTTCAGNNGGTAGTTACCGTTACAGGAGCCTTACAGAAGGTCTATATACCTGATAGAAGCCTTATTATAGAAGCCCTAAATACCCTAAACTCCCCACCTGTAGTTTCCTTTAACTTAGGCCCCTAAATCCTGGACCTTAAGCAAACCAAGCCCCAAAACCTTTCATTTAAAGACTAAAGACACCCTAACCCCCCAGGTACCTACTATATAGAGTACTAGAGCCCATAGGGCCCTATATAGTACGTACCTGGAGGGTTAGGGACAACTGGTTTACATGATAGGCGTAAGCCCCAAACCATGTGCCAAGAGTCATCCAGGCCCGGCTTCGTGAATCCCGCGCTGCACTGCAGAAAGCCGTGGCCACGCAGGTGGGTCGGCAGGTTTTCGGCTTTTGTTGGGAGCAGGTCTTTCAGAATACGGTTATATATATATATATATAGGTCCGGGAGTGTTGGGTGCACATCAACATGATAAAACAGTTCAGGGTTCCGGGCTGGCACTTTACAGAATTTGAGGTTTGGGGTTTACGGTTTTGCAGGCGGTCTTTGGGACGGCGTCGAAGCACGACCACTTGCATACTAGACTGCATGTTCATTACCCTGCCAAACCCAAAACCCTTGAAGCCTAAACCCTTAAAGCCTAAACGCTAAACCCTAAACCCTTAAAGCCTAAACCCTAAAGCCTTAAAGCCTTAAAGCCACCAAATGGTCAGGCAGGGCAACCCTGGGAGCCAGCACGTCTTTAGGAACTGTGCCCCCGGCCACAAATACGGGTAGTTCTCTAAACCAGGGTCCCTATGAGGGTTCTTTTTTATAAGAGTTCCGTCTTATATTGGGGACCTAAAGTAAGGGGACCCTCGTTTATAAAACTACCCATATCCCTATGGGTCTTCTGTACAATCGTTGAAATGTGAGGCAAATTCGGCCCGGAACATGCTGTTCGAAACAAGGAACGCCTACGAGTTTCAAGTAGGCATGCTCTGGGTTTGTTTCAACCACGCATACAATGCCCAAGGGTTCTGCATAGAATTTCAAAGCCCCCCCGTCCAAGCCTGATGCGGCCCGAAAGAGAAAAGCAGCTCTTACTCCTCAGAGCGGAGGCTTTCGAAATCAAAGGCAGTAGCCCGTTGATCGCCTTGGAGCAAAGCCCGGTCCGAAGGATTGTGCCGCTGAAACAACATACCAAAAATCACTCAGGGCTGCCTGAATACCACCCCCTAGAAGCAAACACCATGGACTTAAAGGCCTTCTGTAAGTGTAGACAGCTGTGGAATCCAACAGAACTGAGACTTAGCCCAAAACCCAGGGCAGTAGACTCCTACAGTTACATGAGACAGGGCCCCTGCAGGAAAACTCCTAAATCCTCAACACAGCTTGCGCAAGAACCCCTACAAAGAACGGGCAGCAGCCTATAAATCCCATAATAAGACCCTAAACCCTAAACCCTAAACCCCTAAACCCTAAACCCCTAAACCCTAAACCCTAAACCCTGGAAGCCCCTAAACCCTAAACCCCTAAACCCTAAGACCCTGCAAAGCCTAAGCCAGGATGTGTCCACGCTCTTCCACGCCGTGGCGGAGGGCGAAGCTGCTGGGCTCGACCCGGAGGCGACGTGCCGATTCTTCCTTTATAAGCCTTAGCGGTTTAGGGTTTAGGGTTTAGGGTTTAGGGTGTTTAGCCTTAGAGGTTTAGTGTTCGTCTAACCCTCCAGGTACCTACTACATAGGGTACTAGAGCCCCTGCGGCCCTATATAGTAGGTACCCTGGAGGGTTAGGGTTCGTATTGTCAGGGTTGGTGGGGGGTTTAGTATTCAATGGGTCTTTGGTTCGAATTCAGCATTATACTGGTTCTTCGGTGGTTTGGCATTATACTTTTGTTATCATGATTGGTTTAAGGGTGGAATATCACTATGGCTCCTTCAGGGTTAGCACCCCAGTTAGGACCCTTACGGTGATTGCTAGGTGACACTTTGGGAAACTTTAAGATTTCCTTTATGGTTCCTGTAGAGGTACCTATGCATACTTTTCAGGCCCCAACACTGCAACCCAGACTATGAGGTGGTTCATTGTGAACATGTTTATCAGTCTTTTCATTACTACGTAGTCTGAAGCGGGTTCTACGTGCCAATCAGAAACATGCTTACACGTGTATCGGCACTCATTGGAATGATGTGCTGGTTTGCCTTACAATGCACGTGGTGGTCTCGATGCGATTAAGATTCTGATTTCGGTTACGATGATGCTTTTGAAGCTTTTTTGCACTGCGACTATACTTACGTACCACTCTGTCTTTCCATCACGGTAGCATTTCAGATTCTGTTCATTCCGAGCAGGCTCGCGAACCACTTACTGATTCTGGGTATGACCCTTAAAAGTACGACTCGGATTGCGCCCTTTTATTGCGGACCTGGTCATAATTTCAGAGGTATTCGCCTTTTTTTGGTTAGGTCGTGATATTGTTTGATTTTGTGCATGACTCTTGTCACTGCACTTCTGATACTGAGCCTTTGCTAAGGCTAAGACCTTTATGACTAGGCTGCTTCTTTTCAAAAGCGTTAAGCTCACGATTCTTTCCATTGAGGTAATAATGTTTCTTACGGTTATCTGCATTGACCCTAAACCCTAAACCCTAAACCCTAATTGCAATCGCGGCTGTGAATCTTTTATCCTTTATCTCCGACTGTGCTGCTGCTTGTCATCACTATGCCTCTCGTGTCATCCACTATATTATCTCTTGTCGCACATGCTTTGTTTAAAAGTAAGTGATACTATTCTTGATAAGATATGGTTGTTGCTTTTCAGTTTGGCTTGTACGAATAACTGTTTGGCTTTCACAGTATTACTAACCATATTCTAACCATCAGTGTCCTTTTATGTGATTTTGGTGCCCACCGAAAAACGATCCCTGATCAACTTCTTTCTGCAAATACTGCCGATACCGGTCACTTCCATTTAAACAGTGCTTGCGGATTCAGATGTCGCGCGCTTGGCCAAATTGTTGGGGATGTTCGTTTTAGGTTTAGGGATCCGGCTGTACCTATAGGTCCGGAGGATTAGGGTGCGGGTTTTTGACATTTGCGACCATTACTGGCACTGGTGGAAGTTCCATCGTTATCTTGACATCATCAGCCTTGTTCATACATGCTTGCGTCATGTGTTGTACTACACATCCCACGCCCAACAAACTCTTGAAGACCAAACCCCCCCATCCCCAAAGAACCAAATGCCTGAAGCTAAGGAGCAGCCCGATACCAAACCCCAGGGCCCTTCTATACGACGTTCTTTCCGTACCCTGTAGAACGCCATATCGAAACTCACAACCACCCTACCGACCCGCTCTTTGATCCCTCCGAAACCTTGTAGGAACCTCGCAATCCCCACCCGAAAAATAGCGCCTAAACCCCAACAAAAAAACCTGAACCCCTAAACCCCTAAACCCTGATCCCTCAAACCTAATCCCTAAACCCGAAACCCCCGAACCCCTAAACCCCTGAACCCCTAAACCTCCTAAAACCCTGAAACCCAAAAGCCCTAATATAGAAGCCTAGACAATTACCAATATTGCTGTCAGGGTTCCTTATTATAAATATACAATAAAGGGGCCCAGAACCCTATTCTAGTTATTAAGGCCCCTACACATCAAACCCTAACCCTAAGCCCCTAAACCCTAAAAACCTTAAACCCCTAAACCTCTAAACCCTAAACCCTAAACCCATAAACCTCTAAACCCCTGAACCTCTAAAACCTAAACCCCTAAGCCCCTGAACCCCTGAACCCTGAACCCAGGAACCTAAACCCTTAACCCTATAGTACCCTTATAGAACCCCTCTACAGGAACCCTTTAAAGGAAAACCCCCGAACCCTAGAACCTAAACCCCAAACCCTAAACCGCTAAACCCTAAACCATAAGCCCTAACCCCCTAAACCCCTGAACCCCTAAACCCTAAACCCGGGATCCCTGTAAAGGAACCCTTAAAGGAACCCTTAAAAGGAACCTTTAAAGGAACCCTCAAAAGGAAAAACCGGGAACCCAAAGCTGCTTGCCGCCTCCTGGAGGACCTGGACTCCGCCAAGGCAGCGCTGCAGGAAAAGGTGCGGAAAGCCACGGAGGCCGGTTCCCGACTCCAATTCCCCTTAATTAAGGAGTATACCTCAAATTATAGTAGGTTCGGGGGTTTTCCTTTTAAGGGTTCCTTTAAAGGGGGTTCTATAAGGGTACTATAAGGTTTAGGGTTCGGGGGTTTAGGGGGGTTTCGGGTTTAGGTTGTTTAGGGTTTCGGGTTTAGGGGGTTTCGGGTTTAGGGTTTTTTTGGGGTTTAGGGGTTTAGGGGGTTTCGGGGTTTAGGGGTTTCGGGTTTCGGGGGTTTGGGGGTTTCCGGGTTTAGGGGTTTCGGGGTTTTGGGGTTTGGGGTTTTGGGGTTTTGGGGTTTAGGGTTTAGGGGTTTAGAGGTGTAGGGTTTAGGGTTTGTGGTTTCGAGGCTTACATTGCGTTTAGGGTTTAGGGTTTCGAGGCTTACATTGCGTTTAGGGTTTTAGGTTTCGGGTGTCGGGTTTAGGGTTTCTCGGGGCGTTCGAGTACGGAGTTTAGGATTTTCGGGCGTAGGGCTAAGGCCCAGGCTTAGGGTTTCAAGACCAAGGCATTTGTGTATCAGGGCGCAGGGTGTAGGATCCTAGGGCTGCGGCTTGGGGTTTAGAGTATTAGGGTTTGGTGTAGGGTATTCGGGTTTAGGGTGGAGGGCTAAGGTTTTAGGGCATTGGGGTTTGGGGCTAACATAGCGGCCTAAATACTTACCTATACTATTTCGGGGGTTCCTTACTATAATTATATACTGGGCCGCAAACCCTATTCTAATTATTAAGGCCCCTAAACCTTAAACCCTTATCATCCCTTAGTCGCCCTTATGGAACCACTTTAAGGCACCCTTGAAAGGAAACCCACCAAAACCCTTATTCTAATTATTAAGGCCCCTAAACCCTCAACCCTAAACCCTAAACCCCAAACCCTAAACCCTAAACCCTATTCTAGTTATTAAGGCCCCTACATTAGGACGGTATTAGAGGAGCCCCGTAGTCAGGACGGCGAGGAGCTCCTCTTGGGATCTCGTGCCGCCCTTCTCCCGCCGGCTGGGGATCTCGCCTTCGAGGTTTGGTCCTGAGGAGGGTTTAGGGTTTGGGGGTTGGGGGGTTGAGGGGTTGAGGGGTTTAGGGGTTTAGGGGTTGAGGGTTGAGGGGTTGAGGGGTTTAGGGGTTTAGGGTTTAGGGGATTTTGTTCATCATTCGTGTGGTTCTGCCGTTACTGTTTTGCTCTTCTGACTATTGCTGTTGGAGTGCCGATGACATTATTCATATTCAATAAAAAGATATTCAATACCAAGAATGTCACGCTGATTATGGTTCCTGATGTTATGTTAGACTCAGCACTGTTACGCTTATCATCACCGTTATTATGGTAAAGCGTATTTGCACGGTCAAACTTTACTAGTACGAGTATGATTATTGTAGTATTGCTACGATTACTATCGTTGCTAATTCTGTTATGACTATGCTTGTTCTTAATATTGCTACTGACATTAGTACTATTATCATTATCATTAGTGGCACTATGAGTGTTCTTGTCAATACCGTTACTACGTTTATCAGTACTGCTAAGGGATATTGCTACGTGTACTACTATTGTTCTTATTTTTAACATTGCTAGTGGTGTCATTATTGCTGGTGTTTATTGTTAGTCCTTGGTATCTTTTATCACCACGTCTATTCTTCTTGTAGTGTTAGCACTAACTATTGTTTCTACGATTCTTGTTATCATCATTACTGTAGATACATTGTTGCTGCTGCAACAAATGTTAACTTTGCCAGTACTGTGATGACTAGTATGACTATAACTATTCTCGTCATGGTTGCTGCTGTTCTGATCATCAGCATTATCATTAGCACTACCATTTCTTTCGATGTTGCTATGACAACCGTGACAATTCGATGTGTGTGTGGGTGTGTTACAATAAATGTATATATATATATATGTATGCACATCTACACACCTAATACTGTTGTGGTGCTATAGGTTATTGCAGGGTTGAAGCGAACCCTGGATTTCGGATTGCCTAAGGGTTCTGGGTGTAGGGGTTTACCCGGGTTTGGCGTTTGTGGACTGCTGGATCGCTATGAGCACGATTCTGTGCCTTGGAGTTTATAGGATCTCAGGAGATGGGTGTGTTTGCTCCGAGATTTCGATGTGTGGACTTCTAGTGATTTGGAACCCTAGACCCTAAACCCTAAACCCCTAAACGCTAAACCCTAAACCGATGTCAGGATTCGGAGTTCACGGTTTTTGGGATGGTTCAGGTTCCGGGTCTGCCAAGCAAAGCTTGTAGCGGGTGTAGAGACTCCTGTAATATCATCGCCTTACTAATTAGAATGGGTTTAGGGTTTAGGGTTTAGGTTTAGAGTTTAGGGTCTTATTATAACTATAGTATAAGACACACAGCACAACACGCCCCAAACCCTATTAAAATTATTAAGGCCCCTATAGTATGCTTCCGAGAAGCCCGAAGCCTGAAGCCCACACCCTCAACCTGAATCCTGACTCCCTGAAAACTGTTAGCCGCAGCAACCTGCATGTAACCTTGTAGAACTTAAATAAACAGAACGGGCTACCCTTGCACTGCGTCGCAAAAATTGCTCAACCTTGCTTGATGTACTCCCGAGGAAACGTATCGCTAGATAGTTCACCTAGTTTGACGTCTCCATCTGGGCGATTGATGGTGATGGGGCGTGTTTCGTGTTTGAGCTTGAGTCCTTGGACTGTAGTTTGGACAACCGCTTCGTCAAAAGTAAGCGTCCAATCTTGCCCACCTAACTCTCGGACCAAACCAGGTATGTGAGCCCCCGGAAAGTCTGCCATAGCACAACTCTAGATGGGAATGGAATCGAGCGGTTTCGAGCGCGATGCTGCATGTCGCGTCAGTTTCGGAAGTCGTGGTCCGTCAATGTTGTGTCTATGCTAGTGCTGTCTGCTTGTCTTCATGCTTTCGATTTTCTGATCCTGCGAAAAAGCTGAAAAAAAGCGCACTCCCACAGCGACCCGGACTCCAGAATAAAAGCATGAGAAAGACAGGATGTATGTAGGAAGCCCCGAGAAAATAATCCAATGACATCCGTTGAAAGGTGGCCCGGCAGTCGCTGAGTGCAAAGGCCCCTGGCGGTTTCCAGTTTGAAGAGGGCTCAAGGGCTTTAGGGTTTTAAGGGTTTAGGGGTTTAGGGTTTAGGGCTCAAGCAATTTTTAGGAGGGTGTTTACAAGGAGAAGAGGGATTGGCTTCGAAAGGGTTGGGTAGTCGAAGTCGTAGTCGTTGTAGAACTGTGACCAGCGCGCGTATACCTTCACATGAGCTTGCACGCAACTCGTGCTTGAACGGCTCTGGTCTTCACGTTGCAGAAGAGGGTATGCCGGCAAATGCAAACAGACAGACAGGCAGATAGATAAGCAGATGGACAGATAGATAGATGGATAGACAGATAGATCGATAGACAGGCAGATAGATAAGCAAGCGCATACGCATCAACAAATGCATCTATGTATATGTATATATATATATATTGTATATATATATATATATTGTATATATATATATTGTATATATATATATATATATTTGTATATATATATATAGGGAGAGAGGGGGAGCTACTATAGAGAGAGAGAGCAGAGAGAGAGAGAGAGAGAGAGAGCGAGAGAGAGAGAGAGAGCGCGACAGAGAGAGTGAGAGAGTCAGCGAAATAACACTCTCTCTCTCTCTCTTCCTCTCTGTGCATGTGTCTGTTGGATGATACGTACGTCTGTAATCGTGTCGTGTATATCTGTATAAACGTGAACATGCACATATGCACACATATGCGCACACACACACACACAGGTACTCATAGACATACCTGAATCGACACTGTTTGAGCAGTCTTACTTCGACCTCCAATGTCACGGCCGTTGTCGTCGTAGGGTTTGTATGGGGATGTTGGTGAGTGTATACCGGGCTGCTTAAGTATGAATATTCGTGTGTGGTCGGGAGTGTACGTTTTGTTGGTACTGATGTCAAACATGGCTTGTGCAAGTCTTCACGATCCAGACACCTTATCTGGTGTTTCTTGACCTCTCTGTACTCTGCACTTTGAATGAACGACACACTTCCTGAACAGGTTACGAAGACAAGCTTGGGCCCTAAACCCTACCCCGCAAGAACAACAACAAGACCAAAACCACATTTAAAGCACTGGACAACAAACAAACGAACAAACAAGCAAGCAAGCAAACAAACAAACAAACAAACCAACAACAACAAGAACAAGAAAAAGAAGACGAAGAAGAAGAAGAGCCGGAAGCAGGGCTTCGGCGGCTTCGACTGGAAGGTGCGCGAACACCTGGCTTTTGGCACCGTAGCCGTCGGCCAGGACCTGTTGGATTTGTTTTCACGGTTTTCGAGGGTTTAGGAAGTTTAGGGTTTAGGGTTCTCGATGCAAGGTTTAGCAGTTGCTTCAGCATCACTTGTTGACATGATAAGTATGGGTTGCGGTCGTTAGCACGCCCAGGATTCTTCAACCATGCAGATACACGCACATGCAAGTATATGCGTGCATAGTGGCCAATGTGGAGTCTGTTTCCTGTTGGAGTGCGAGACGCTCTGGAAAGCAGGGATGCGATGCATTGAGGGCTCTGAGTGGACAGTACTTGAAAAATCACAGTCCGCGGCCCCAAGTAGCGCTTGCTGTCCAAGACATCAGTTATCGCTGTCCGGATAGTTCAGATATCTGGACGGAGCATTCATGATGCGCAAGATGGTGGAAGCGAAGCAGACGTATAGCTGGTCTGGTGTTTCGAGCACTGCTGCAAGGCCGAACATGGCGATACACGCAGAGACTTGATGGACTTGGCGGCTTCGTTCGGATGCAAGTTCGTTCATCACAAGAAGGTTCTGGGCTTCAAGAGTTGGCTGGAAGGCAGAAAAGGGAGCATGCTGGTCATCGCAGACTGGCGAGAAGCAAAGCCTGCGATTGAAGAGCTCAACAAGCGCGGCGAAAGTCATGATTTCCGCATGTGCGTCGTTGCACCATCGGAGAGCCCGAGCAGACATGACACGTGAGGCCACGTTAGAGCACCTGCGAACATCTCTCAGAGCCGTGCAACAGACGCATGAGCCAACTTGTTTCCGCTGCAGCCGCGCCTGATATAGCTTGCATGCTGATCTTCGCTTTCGCGATGGCAAGGCTCACAAAGACGGTAGCGGTGACCCTCATGGCCATGCTCGCTGCAGTCCTCCAGGGCCGTGGATGCAACACGAGCGACCTTGCCAGCTGCACCAGCAGCACATCTGGCTGTGACGGAGTGACCACCTACATGAACTGCGTGAAAGATGCTGGCTGCTGCGACTACGAAACCGGCGGGGTTAAGGTCAAGGACGGCTTCCAAGCGATGGTGGATCTTGTGAACCTCTTACCAGGAAATGACTGCACCTTGAACAGCCCTTGCTAAGCCGATCGACCACGGGCGTGCTGGGTTGTGCCGGACAGCCGTCACACGTGTAGTGCTGTAGACTCCGTGACATTCCAAGCCTGCAGCTGTCCCGCAGTCCTGTGCAGCACTAGCACGACCAAGCATGATGCCGTGGCGTCGCAATGCTCGGCGCCACGTCCATGCAACGCTGCCATTGCGTTTTCAGCACTGGGTGAGGGCGAACGATGAAAAGATACCCCATGCTGTTTATGTAGCTTGAGGTTCTGTTCCATCAGGGCAACAAGCCTAGGAGATCCACATATTTTCGAGCGCTAGCGCAGGGGTTTGGGTAGCACCGGTCGCTTCGTGCCCGAGCAGACGTGACACGTGATCTTTCGCCGTGCAGCTCTCTGAAAGGAATGTCAGGATGCGCGGGCCAGAGGGTGGATGAGTTCATCAGGCACAACCTGAAAGCCCTTCAGGTCACTACCGCGTACACAGGGCGAGGTGTGGAGACTTCCTCGTGCCTGCGCGAGAGGCCTCAGGCCCACGAAGATCTTCTGCCACTGGTTTTTGCAGGATCCGCAGCTGGCAGCTGGTCTGGAGAGAATCCTGAAGCGAACCATAAGGCAAGTCTATGAAGACTGAGCAAGTAGCCTATGGCAATAGAACACGCGTCAATTTTGATCCGGGCAGAAGGGCAAGATGCTCGTTGTTCAGTCTAGCGATTAGTGTGGCAGCCGAAGTGCCTGTCACACCATCTCACCTCCATACCTATGTTTTCTGCACCAGTTGATTGGCCAGGCGGGCCAGCTAGACCGGCTGAACTCACCTGAGCTGTGTATTGCTTCTGTTGCGCGCCCAGCGCTGGATTGGGACTGCGCGACAACAAGGAGTTTCTTGCTGGTGTCGCTTGTTCGTTTTTTTGCATGGCCTTCGAATTGAGATCATCATATCAGGAGTTGGCGGCCACACTGGAGCGAGCTTGGTTCGCCAAGAAGATGCCGCCCAACCTTATGAGAGGGCTAGTGCTGCGGGGCGTCTAGTTGTAGAGTTTGGTTTGCCGAAGTCAACCCTACACCTCAAGCCGAGGTCGCAGGAGTGTAAGAAGGCTCGAGTCAGTTCGGTGCGATGTCGGGAGTTACACATCTGAGCCCAGGCAGGTCATCTCCTGAAACAGGTCTTTGATATGTGGATCCTACTACTGGAGGTTCAGAAACTCAGATACCTGGCAACCTCGCTCCTGCATAGTTCCTCTGTTTCACATGGCCCCAATTTAATCATAATCTGCAGCATACTATTTTCTAATATACTATAATTAGCGGCCTTGTGCTGAGGAACATCTTGGAGGAGCTGTGTCAGAATCTGCAGAGCTGCCTGGTGACGAGCAACGGGAAGGCCTCGAAGCCGCAAGCGGCTTTGCAGCATGGAGTAGGGTTAGGGTTGAGGGCTTCGGGGTTAGGGTTCAGGGTATATTGCTTCTGTTCTAAATGAGGTTTCGGGCTTTCGGCTCCTCATGCAGGTTGTGTGGCCCGGCATATCAGGTTAAACCCTAAACCCTGCACCGCTCACTCCTCAATACGGATGAGCACAATGCCTTATGCCTCAGGCACCTTATGCAGCACGCTGCGAACCCTGCATGCACGAAGTCAAATGAAGCCTACTCCATCCTGATCTGTATCGGTGGCAGGCCTGCGTGACCGAAGCCTTTTGAAACCCTGAAGCTTTAACTCGGCAACCCCGATACCTCATAAACCAACATCTCGGGACAGCTCCAAGGCTTTGGACAAGACGATTCTTCTCAAACTGGGTCCACAGCTCAGTACTTATTGTTAAGGGTTACGGGTAAGGAATTGCTACGCTAGCATTAAGCTGTCATCCCTTTGGTTGGCAGGTTTGCTACAATGCAAGAGCTGGATGTGCTCTGCAGGACACTCTGGTTGTTGTAACATGGTCACAAGCATCATCACATTCATCCAGCGGCACCATCATCATCGCTATCAGCAACAGCGGCCTCATCGTCTTCTTCGTCTTGATTACCATCATGTCCATGATGTCCTTCACCCGTATCCCGGACAACATCTTCCTGAGTATCCTCCATCCTCATGTTTGAAAGTAATATATCTCTACATCTGAGCAGACATAGACACTTGTCGTGTTGCGTGTCTTGCCCTACGTTCATGTCCCTTACATGGAGATCCACCAGCCTGCTGTACCCTAACCCTAAACCCTACAGCCCTACACCCTAAAGCCCTAAACCCTAAAGCCCTACAGCCCTAAACCCCAAAACCCTAAAGCCCTAAACCCCTAAACCCTAAACCCTCAACCCCTAAACCCTAAAGCCCTACAGCCCTAAACCCCTAAACCCTAAACCCTCAACCCCTAAGCTCTGAAGCCCTACAGCCCTAAACCCCTAAACCCTAAACCCTCAACCCCAAAGCTCTGAAGCCCTACAGCCCTAAACCCCTAAACCCTAAAGCCCTGTTTCGAAGCTGAGGGTTCCCTGAGGCACAAGGCTAGGCAGGTTTCACCGGTAGCCGCCTTTGCGAACGGGTTCTGACCCAGTCCTGGCCGAGGAGTCATTGAAAACCTTTAATATAGGGGCCTCAAGAAATACCTTTAGTGTTTTTTTGGGGGGTCCTTATTATACTATTAAATATATCCCAAAACCCTATTCTAATTATTAAGGCCCCTATATTTCTTGTGAGGTTGTTACATAGTATCTTGATTATCCGTAGTTTCACTTGTGTTACTGCTGCGAATGTGGTTCTGATAATGGTGGTGATGAGGATGAGGCTGGGGATGATGATGTTGATGATGAGGCTGAGGATGACGATTGACATGATTATGATGATGGCGAAGAAGAGGATGATGATGTTGGCGACGACGACAACTGGCTGTAAGAACAACTATGGTGATGGTGAAGGTGAAGACGACGATGATGATTATTTTTGGCAGTAGTAGTAGTAGTAGTAGTAGTAGTCGTCGTCGTCATCGTCGTAGCAGTAGTAGCAGTAGTCGCAGTATTAGTAGTAGTAGTAGTA